AAATTTTTGATACTAAAGGTCATTAAAACTAAATTCTGCTTTTCTGTAAAAACATAACTTGCCCGAATAAAAGCTGTGAGCTTATCTCCCTGATTACAGTAACCCGTTTTTCGGAAGGCTTAGCATCAAACTTTTCATGTAGGTTGCCTCCCTAAAAGTGGGTCTTTTCATATATTATAAGATCTCCGACACTTTGGAAGCAAATATTTCATCTTTCCTCAAGAGGAAGGTTCTAAGTTTGCATAATTTTTGTATCGTGAAAATGATATGTTTAAAATGAGGTTACCAACAAAATGCAAAGAGATACAAGTCAATCAAGAACGTGGAAAATTTTATCTTTTACAATACTGTCAAAAGAATAAAAAAGTCATAATCGTTGCCCATGAAGGGAATAATTTGCTTCCATTTTTCCTCTTAGAAATTGATCTAATGCATAGTATGATTAGAACATAAATTTCTAATATGTACAAGTATGTCGACTTACTACCTCCTTGTTAATACTGACAATTGAAAGTCAATTAAGCTTCAAATGGTGAAACTACTACAGCAATCCAGCTAAAAGTAAAGGATTGATGAACTCACATTTGCTGTTTGCAAGCTATGAACAACTTTCGGTAGATACACATTATGACTTTTACATACATAAGATTCTCAGTCCTCAGTTCCCGATAACACCTTTGCTCAAGAAGAGTTGTAATCTGACCAATGAGTTATGAGCTATCATTAAAGTTTTTCTACAGATAGCTCAATTGGAAGAAAACTTACAGAAGGTATCAACTGTATAAGGAGCAAAAAAACAGACATTTATGCAGCAAACAAAAATTTAAATCAAGAACCAATTAAGTACATGAATCTAGAAAGTCTACTGGGAGAAAAATATAAAAAAATTACTTAGAGAAACAACTAATCAATAAACTAGCTATCCAGATTTAAGGGATGTTGACACAAAACAAACACTAATGTGTTCGCCCTTCATGTCATCGTCAAAATTCATCTAATTAACTCGTGCTTCAGACTCGCAAGCTTTAAAAATGAATATACAGCAGAGAACTTGTTTGATGCTAATTACAGACTATTTGTAAGTAGGTTTATTGTTGAAGAAAGAACTTCAATTATCATGAATATTTGAAAGCTAAAAAAAATTATTAGCTTAGTAGCCACCAATTCAACCGCAACCATTACATGTGACACATATCTTAATGTTAACAGATCTTCCAAGTAAAGATATTACAAATAACGGTCACATAACAATATATTTGAACGTAATCAAAATAGAGTTTAAATTGTTATCAACTTATTACAGTTTTATAATGGAGGATGGTTTGATTTTCGTGGTCAAAAGAAAGGTTTTTTCTTGATGCAACTTCTTATAACCTTATTTGGCTTTCAAAAAAGATAATGGCAATAAAATTCACGTCAAATTTTGAAAATCTAAAATGTTAAACTTTAAAATTTAAAAATGTCTTTAGAAAAAAATCCATAAATTTGACTAGGAATACCAAACAAGCCACTAAGTTCCAGATGGCACGAACATGGTACCAAATGAATGCACAATCTAATATGTAATTTTAAAAACAAAAATTGTTTTCAGTAGATAAAGGAAACTGGCAATAATGTTCAGAGAGGAAATATTAAGGGAAAAATCTGTGCAATAAACAGATAATATGGCAGATCACTAGGCCATAGAGATTATAAGTTGGGTACTACTTTACCCTTTCTATCCAATAATTGCTTGTCTCACATATTCGAACAAGATTGTATCTTCCACTTTCTTTTTCATCTCTTCTATATCATTCCCAATGTTTCAGATTTTCTTAATAAGTCTTTGCACTTGGATTTTTTCTACCACTTAGTTCGAAGAAAACATTAAGAACGGAGGACGTATATTCTAAATATACCAATTGTTCACCAAATTCTGTTATCGCTGTATATAATAGGAAAGAAAATGGCTGATATAACAGATTATGTACATAAAAATAACACTGCACAATGTTGTAAAGATTGTTGGAAAATAAAATGCTCGGATATAAGCAGGGCCCTGTAATCAAATTCAGAAAGGATAACAGGGCAACCTAACCTTGGGAACGCGTAGTGGATTTTTTGAAGCATATTCACACAATTTGCTGATTTTTCTGTCATTAGGTTCTTCACCCTGTCAAAAGTACAATATTATGGGGTTGTTTGTTTCTG